ACATTTACAATGTTACAAACTTGCACTCGTAGTCATGCGGCCGAGTAATAGTGGTTCCATTTGGCGCACACAACTACAAATTAATTTTATTAATTTATTTATTCTTCTTTTCCGCATTTGGCCATTTGGTCTCATTACTTCATCATTATTTTACTATTTATTCCTGTACCATTTCTTCCCTAATTTAGTTTTTGTTAGTTTCGCTCCTTTTTTATTTTTTACTACACTCTCCAAATCCTTATACTTTCTTCTCCGTTTAATTTTTTCATTTAAATCACTTTGTCTCGCACTCTGTGTTTACAGGCTCTCATTCCTGGACCTGACCGTGGATACGATACTTCCTCTCCCACAGCTGTAGGCTCCTTACCTTGCGACGTGGAGCAACAAAGCATCTCCACTCCTTTGACTACCGAGCCTCACCATCCAGTCGAGGCCACTACTGTCCAGCAACTAGTCACAAACCTTGTCCCTTCCACTGACATGTCACCGTGTGTTAGCCCTGCCGGGTCGTTTATGCATCCGGAATCTCATTTAATGGAGTTGCGAAACCGACATAATTTTTCTCTAACGAATACAACAAGCACGGTAGGCCTTATGATAATGAAGAGGTTTTTTCATATATATTTATATATAACACCTTAGTTATGATTAATATCTTCCATTCTACCTGGGCTCTGCACAGTACGCTGAAAAATCACTTTTTGTTCCCACTTGTCCATTTGCCATTTAGCAGTGGTTTTCAAGAATTCTTTTCTTTGTAAGCTATACGTATAATTTCAAAATGAGCATGCTTCTCCAAAGATAATTTAATTTGCGCTTTTTATTTCTATAGATTATAATTTCTTACTCTTCTTGTAATTTAGTATGCTAGCCTGATGTCATAAATAAACCACATAAACAAACCACGTTCTCAATTACATCTACTAGGCGTGAAAGACTTTCCTTTAATCTTACTCTTTGTGGCCTTGTAATTACAATCTTAATCACTTTAATAGGAAACCCATTGAAAATAAATTTCTTAAATACTGCCAGTACAATAGTGTGCGGATACAACATACGATCTATGAAAAGAATACCAGACCTGGTTCACTTCGAGTCTGGTTAAAATTGTCATACCTCGCTCAACTTATCAACACTGCATTCACAAAATTACATTAGTCATCATTTCAAGGTCAAAGTGATTTTGGTGACGATTTACCTGTTCGATTGCATCCGCATCTCCTCCACTCACCATTAACAGCCACTTCGCCTACCGGCAAGCATGTAAGGAATGCATATAATAGCCAACCAAATCATGAGAGGTCTAATTAACTGGACACGGTTAGGAGTAAGTAGTAAATATGATTAAAGCCGACCACTTTTCCCGTCTTAGTGTTTATGTAACCTACATAAAGCGTTTTATCATGCTATGACGACGTCTGCCGCATGAAAGCCGAAAGCCTAACATGAATTCATTAGGCTCGTGGAACTGAGCGTCTAGGACTTATTCGCACGGTCTGAGATCTCAAATCCACAACACTCCGGCTTCAGATGAGGCCAATTTACCATCCTTTTCTACTAATTTAGCTTTTTTGAATCTTTTATGACTT